CTTCTAATATGTGAGTCGATTAGGTTTAATGAAATATAACAAAGCTTATGACCGATCTAGGGTGCAATATTAAAACATGTCTATGTAAGTTTTACGAAATCTAGATATGAGATTCGTCTATGCACATAGATCCCTTTATCTATGTGCTTTGTTTTCGTGTTCTATGAAATCATTAAATGACGGGAGGTGTGAAATAGTCACGACTCACAACGAACATTTCCTAGCGCTATGAGAGGATTGCTAGAATTGGCCGCCCCTACTGGCCCTTTTTACTAGTATAACAATTTGCTAACTATAATTTTTCCACATAGTAGTATGAAGTCACCCAAGTCAATTATTAGAGTGAGAGAGAGTATATATATATATATATATATATTATTTTGTTCAAGGAGCAACATTAACATCATTGTGCAAGTGAAAGCAATGTCCAGTTCCAAGACAAAGATGCAACCCCTCAAAACTAAACTGTGATTTGTGAAACATAAGCCATCAATATTCAATAACCCATCTGAGGCAGCTTCATCTAATCGCCCACTTACGTACAGCGCCCAAACTCTTGAGTAGCATCCACGCTTTAATCCGAAAATGACACCTAAAAACAAAACCATTTCACCTTAATATAATCATCAAATCAAGAAAGCACGATGGTGATCTCTTTCTGTTGCCTTCTGTTTCAGGTTTTAGCCAGAGATCTGATTTGATCGATTCATTAAACAATTCATCGGTTCCAATCTCCCATCCGCCAGTCAATCAGGGCCAGGCTCAGGTGCGCCGCCCACAAACGCCGCCGGCCATTGGCCCGGCTGGCCAGAGCCGAGCGGTACACGTGGCTCCACATCAGGCAGCCCCACGGGGACCTTGACACGTGGTATTGAATAATTCCTCCAACTAGGGTTAATTGCTTCGTGCCTAAGCATGAAACAAAAATCTTTCTGTCACGGACCCACTGTTGTTATCTTCCATGAATCCATCTGTCCCTTTCATGGTTTTTTTTTTTTTTTTTGTTAAAGCAGAGAGGACGAAGACGATGCCCCACGCAAAGTGACCCACGACCCGTAAAAGCCAAGCGGGGCGCTTTCACTGTTTATATAATCCATTGACATAATATGGAGGCATTATTTTACATTTAATTGTGCACGATATCTTTCTTTTCCAAAGGCACGAGATAGGGACATTATCGGTGCCATAACTATTATACGGGGTCCACTCGATATCGAAACTCTTGAAACGATCATTTAGGTGCCATAACTTTTAAAGAATAATCGCTTAAGTGACTTTGGTGACAGATAATTTAACGTGGCTCTTCAGAGTCATTTAAATGAACGTTTTTAAGAAGTTTCGGCACTACATTGATCTGTCATAGAGTTTTGACACTAAGGTGATCCCTCTTAAAGTTTTGGCACAAGCTATTTTAGAGCGCGTGGTACGTAATTTAAGCACCATACAACGTTGTTAAATGCATCAAATTTTCATAAATTGATAAATTGAGGTTAAATTGGTTCCCAAACGTTCTCCAGCATTGATAGTTGATTAAAGAAGGTTAGTCCATTTACACAAGGCTCCAAGCTCTGTTATTCAATCTCAAAACAGAGCAAGGTCAGAGGAGAAATGCAAACTTATGAGAATGAAGAGAATATTACTTACTTCGCTTCTTTTATAAGAAAATATATAGAATTTTGTGATTTTAAACGATATTATTTTGAGAGAATATTTACTTCAGGATTTTGCTTTTGAGTCTAACAAAACAAAGAAAAATAATGGGGAAGATAGAATATTTGCTTTGTAATTGTTGCTTTTATCTCGTAACATTGTTATGTCAATTTTCTAAATCATAAATTGTAGAGCAACTATTCTATAATAAAATGATTTTATAAAAGATCACTTCAATGCCAAAAATTTTCAAAATCGTCAATTTAAATAACTCCAACAAGCCACGTCAGATTTTCCGGCAAACTAAGACTCTGTTTGGGAACTGCTTTGCTAAGGGGTTTTGGGCAAAATGAAAATATCGTTTGGCAAAATTTTTTGGAGAATTTTAGGAAGATGCAATTGCATTTCGAAATGCCTTTAGCCTAAGGAAGGTTCGCGGGTGCTTTGAGCTTTGAGCATTTCCGGAATACAAATACAACTTTTTTCTTTTAACTTTGCTCTCGCTCAACTTTCATAATTTCTGAAATGTTCTCACCTCATGCGACGTCACCGGCGAGGCCAGTTGGCTGCCTGCAAGCCTCGCCTGAGGTCGACTTGGGTCGCGGGAACCTAGGCAACGGTCGCCTGGGTTGCTCGACCTCAGGCGAGGCTACCGGCTGCCGATTTGGCTCACCGGCAATTGAGTTTTGCTGGCAAATGGTTTGAGAATTAAAAAAAAAACTAGCAAAAGTCTTTTACAAAGTGTATTTTTTTTTCCAAATGGCATTTAAGTCAAAGTTGCTTCCCAATGTTTTTTTAAAATACACTTTACCAAACACTAATTTACATTTTGAAAAACTCATTTGACCTAGTGTTTTGCATTTTCCCAAAAGCTTTCCCCCATATTGTTTCCAAACACACCATAAGTCATAAAAGTCGCTTAAGTGATTGCTTTCCAAAAGCTGTGGCACTTAAATAATAACTTAAAAATATTTAGTACCCAAATAAGCGCCGTACAAAAATTGTGAAACTGATACCGTCCTTTCCTTCTCAATCGGAGGAGTATTAGTCCAAAAAAAAAAAAAGAGGCCTTTAGGAGTGCCATAGAACATGCCAAACCAATTTCCTCCCCTATGGGACAAGTATTGCCGCCCCCCTACCACCCCTCCCCAAAACAAAAAGACCATAGGGAGTGCCAAAGAACATGCCATACCAAATCGTACAACCAAATTTCTCTTCTATTTTGACGATTTTTATTTTATTACGAATAAAAAAAAAATTCAGTGATTTATTTTTACCGCGTCATGAACTGATATGACGAACATTTTTATACTCCCATCCAATAATGGCTTGACACTTATACACTAACGTGGAATTAAATACAAAAATTAAAAACTTCATTTCTCTCTCTTCCTCCACCATGACAGCCACCGCCCCACCACCCTAGCACGACTGTCGCCACCGCTCAAACCGCCGCAAGCGAGCCCTTCGAGTTGTCATGGCCGTTGCATCCTCCGCCTTCATTGCTACAGATCTGCTCCGATCAACCAGATCTGGAGCCATGGTGATCGCGGAAAGATGGACCCGACCATATTTAAATAGTGACGCCGCTAGTTCATGACCGGCGAGGCGGCTCGTCCACAGACACTAGCCTTGCTTGTCCATGACCGCTACGACCAGATATGGCCGCTGTGACCCTATGAGCTCAAAAACAAAAACGGAGGAAGACGAAGTTGAAGACAAACAGACGCACAAAGAAAGGTGAAGCCAAAGACGAAGCTAAAGACCAGATCTGGAGCTATGACGACGGCGAGAAGACGAAGCAACCAAATCTGGCTGGTGGCCAAAGACGAAGACAAACAGACGCACGATGAAAGACTAGGCTGAAGACAAACAGAGGAAGAGGGAAGATGAAGTTGAAGACTAGATTTGGAGCCATGGTGATGGCAAGAAGACGAAGTGACCAGATGTGACCGGTGGCCGAAGAAGAAGACGAAGACGAATAGACGCACGGAGGAAGACGAAACAGAAGACGAACGGAGGAAGATGAAGACGACGGAGGGAGTGGCTTGGTTTGGACGCACAGCAGTGTTGGCCTGGACGCGGCGCCGGCGACGGCGGGGAGGCACGAAGGTCAAGCTCAGAGGTGGTGTGAACGGAGTAGCAAGAGAGAGAAAATAGGTGGACTGAGTAGATTTCTATTTTTTTTACTTAAATCCATATCTATAAATACGTGTCAAGTTGTAATTGGATGAAAGTACAAAATGCTTGCCATGTCAGTTGATGACCTGGTGGAAATAAACCACTGCCTAAAACCCTAAATTTTAAATCCCAAATCCTTTAGGAGCACTATAGAACATACCATATCAAATAGTACAATCAAATTTCTCTTCTAATCGCTTTTATTTTATCACCGATAAAGTTTATGTCAAATCACTTCCCATCCCCAATCAGCTCAAATCACTCAACCGTGATGCTTTCAATTGGATTTAATCTTTATGCTTTTATTTTTATTTAGCATTTGAGGTATAATCTTCACTAATAAACACCTCCACTCTTTATAAGCCTATATATGGACATTTAAGGTAATTTTCCAATCATGCAAGTTTCTTTCACACTGCTTCAAAAAAAATTATCATTTTATTATGGTAAAAAGAATTAATATTTCAATTTCTCCTTAAAAATAGCCTAAACAAATCAGTGCGTTTAGTTAATTTAGATAATTCTATTCACTCCCACTAAATCACTCACATAATGAAAATTATTTTAATGCAATTTAGATAATTATCGTCACGTTGCAATATTTGCTCAATCAAATTAAAGTGGGCTTTCGTGATCAAAAAAGTTGCTTTCTCCAGATGAGGTCAGAAACTGAACTTAGGAAGTTTCTACGCAACCCAGGGGGGTAAGATTTGTAAGCTACTTTCCCTCCCTTGACACTAATGTATCGAAATTACTTATAGATGTTAGAACAATATTTTTAATGTATCGAAATTACTTATCCTGCATCAAATATGATGAATTTTCTTCTTCTTCTTCTTCTTCTTTTCGCATTTCTCGACACTTTACATGGTTTGAAATCATATTTCGAAAGTATCTAAAATGAAACTATCCTTTTACTCTTCATAAATAGACGAACTATTAGGGATAATTATTCACAACTTTAATCTTGATGTCCTTATAGCATGCCGATTATTGGAGGAAATTATATTGTTCGCTGAGTAGGCTTAAGTTAACTTTACTAGATGATATCATTTAGAGAGCTGAAATTTAGAAAGCATGAGATGTAACATACTTGTTAATTAGATATAACAAAGAATTCTCTGTGGGTGCCCAAGTTCTGTTAGGGACGAAAATGCAAGAGATCATTAATTATATATTAGTCACTTTCGAAATGGAACGAGTTTTCTATACAATCAACAAGACCACTGTCCTAGACTAATTTTATTTCTTTATATGTCCGACAAAATACTTTACGTCAGCAAGTTCGTTACCGGACCCCACTACCTACCTTTTTTGCCCATAAATACCACCGCCCTATGCTGCAATTCTTCCCTTTTCTCCTCCTCCTCCCTCCACCGTCTACAATAAGTTTTCCGGCCATGCTGTCCACTTTTCCGGCCATGCTGCCGTCCGACCCCATCCTCGACAACCCGTTTCTGTCCTTCGGAAATGGGTTTCCCCCATGGGACTGCCCGGACCTCTTCCCGGCCGTCGAAACACCGCCGAGACCCCTCTATTCGAGCTCCGGCTCCGATGACCCGAACCCCAACCAAGACAACCCCTCGAACTCGAATTCCTCTTCGACCTCGAGCGAGCAAAACCGGGCCTCGCCTGTGGTGGACGAGCGTAAGCGGAGGCGAATGATATCGAACCGGGAGTCGGCGAGGCGGTCGCGCATGAGAAAACAAAAGCACCTCGAGAACCTGCGGAACCAGGTGAACCGGCTGAGGGTCGAGAACCGGGACCTCACGAACCGGCTGCATCTGCTGTTGTGCTACGTCCAGCGCCTCCAGATCGATAATGACCAGATGCGGTCGGAGCACGTTAAGCTCCGGCAGAAGCTATCGGAAATATGCCACGTCTTGCTTTTGCAGCAACAAGTGCACCAGCAGCATGGCCATGCAACGTCGTGACTGTTAATGTTACGCCGGAACAAATCCCATCATTAATCACGTAATTTAAGAGCTATAGCTAAATAAACTCATTGAAACTACTCAAGAAGAAGGACTCTCTCTCTCTCTCTCTCTCTCTCTCTCTCTCTCTCTCTCTCTCTCTCTCAAGTTGCTAGAACAGAGAGTATCTGTGGGTTTTAAGTGATGATTAACTTTGGACAAATTTGGGGTATTGGTCAAAACAGGGGTCATTACTTGTAAGAAAATTTTAGTAGTGATTGGTACATTGAATATCTAGTAGTGGTTCGAGTTCTTTATGCTCTTCCCCCACTTTTACGCCAACCAGATCATATGACAAATCAAAGCATCCACTCATGATTGTTCGACCGAGTGTGCAACCATTGGCCAAAGTGCTCATTTTAACACTCTTCCCCTAATGTCTATATCCACGAAAGTTGAACCGCTACGTAACATGATACGTATAGACTTAACATCTCGAAGGTAACTAGATCGATCAGTCACCATTTGGATAGAGCGAATCAAGTAATTATAGACTCAAATGATTATCAAACTCGTTCAAATAAAACTAACATAAGAAAGGATACTATGGCTCGAGAAAAAAGATAAGGCTACTCTTTCTTTTCTTGTGCGTTGGAAACCCTAGTCCAAACCTGAGCTTGTTTTGGAGATTCCAGATAATATGTGTCCTCTTTGGTAACGAGCTAGATTACGTAAGACCGCGTAAATCTATTTATCGAGCAATGCTAAGTTTATTGTTTTACTAAATTGATAAATTAATTGATGTGTCACATTATATCTAACTATTCGACAAATGAGTCATATTCAAAGCTCAAATAAAAATACGTTACATCATTTGATAAAATAATATGTGTTGTGACTATAGAGAATGGCATATCAACCGTTCATTTTGTTTTTTGGTTGATATGTTTATACTCTTAGGCAAGGGAATCTTTCGATTATATTCTGGAATTAAACGACTGATACTTCCAAAATAATAGATTACATACCAAATACGTACCATCGGGAAATTTAGGGTTTATAATAAGTGGTAAGCTAAAAAGTGAGTCCATCACTTTTGAGACATGGCAAAAGTTGCACTTCACCGGCACTGCCACTTTTTCTTTGCTTGACTGATTACCTTTGGATTTTAGGTAGAGAGATGATGGCAACTTTAGGGTTTAATAATGGAGCAGTTGATGTTGAACATGAGCGCTTGGCGGGGCCACATTAGCGACGAGTTGTGTTCGGACACATATAATATGATATTTCAGATAATAATGTGCAATAAAATATGAATCAAGAAAGAGCATGCTTCCGTCACGACCATATTTATATAGAAAGTGAAAGTTATGGTTTCTATACTTAAAAGTTACATATGCTTTACATCAAGTAATTCTCCATATGTCTATGTAAATATGAACTGACAAGGAGCAAGCGATTGTTGAATACAAAGAAATTGATCTTAATGGGATTGTTTTTCAGATTGGGCAAACTTACAATCGTAGAAATCACCGTTTAATAGTTGGTCTCAATTTAATAGTTTCATAAGATTTTGGAGAAATATGACGGAAGTAATTGAGTTTTCCATTGAAAAATAATATAGTAATTAGTTTTGTCACTAAAACAAAGCACAGGGGTTATAACTAATCATTCCTAAAAGAATAGAAATAAAAAATTTAAGTTTTTTAAAAGCTTGTATATGTAGGCACCGTGTGTCAATAGTCGGTGCTGACTCAACAATATTCGGCTAATTTAGACTAAAATTTTTGGCAGATGACTTATATTGTCGCCTGAAAATAATGCAAGGACTAGAATTGTGATCAAGAACAAAAGTTAGGGTTAGTAATGTTGGATAGACTCGCTTGCATAGCATGAGGTAAAATACAAATTGTAGAAAAAAAACTTGAATACGACACGACACGCCTCATTTTTGTATTGACTCGAATTGATAAGAATGAACACATTTTCATCATACTTCAATTATTCGGCATATGAAATCAAAATTAATATGTTTTAAGCCAACACAAACTGACACAATTATAAACATGCCAATGCAAATTATCAGCCCTATTAGAAATGAAGTCTCCAAAACTATAGGTATTAAAAGTGTAATTCCCAGAAAAAATTACAAGAAATTATTGCTTCACATATAGGATCAGAACCCAGCTTAAGTCAAACCATGGCATTCCCTCTTTATGTTTATTCGATTTTTTTCTTACTATTGCTCTCTTTAGTTGTTTTTTTTTATAAGTATTAAAATTTCTTACTTAAAATTGAGACAAAGGGAAACTAAATACATAATATTCATAAACGAGTGATGTGGAAAACTTCAACGAGTAAATGCAATTAATTTAACAAGTTGTTGTAATGTCATTTAAGAAGAAACCCCAACTCGAGTTCAATATTTAGTTTAAAGAATCATATTCCTCAGACATTATTGAGTTATTTCGAAATATTTTAAATTTTTGGGTTTGATGATCTTTTCACAATTATATTTTTCTTTGAGACGATATGATTCTTTCTCTCTCCACTCACAAATTCATGTCATGTCATGAAAATTATGCACGTTAACATCATTTGTTTTATATGACAAACCATATACCTGAACTACAATGATTACATGTTAAATCATGCTGATAAATGAGCGAAACATGTCGTATAGGGCCGTATCAATCAATCCGATTTCTTCTAGAGTTTTTTTTTTTTTTTTTTTCATTTCTAGTTGGAAGAAATTACCTCCAGCCAAGTCTCCCATCGGTGAACATCACCCCTAGGATATAGGTAGGAGAATATTTTATCAAATTAGAAATAGATGAAAAATGCCTGAACTGAATCGGTTCACGGGTCTTGTGAGCACGAATTTTCAAGTAACTAACCCTAAATCATAAGAGAGATCCCTTTTTGCTATTTGGGAATAGCTAAAGCTTTCAAGTCAAAACTAAGAGCGACCGCAAGAGGCAACGCATACCACATGTTTAAAGTAAGGGCGGCTGCTTTTAGGTGGATGAGTCGACTAGAAATTCTAGAAACCCACTCCCCATAAAAAAAACAAATCACACTGAAGTGTGGAGTTGTGTAAAGGTATGGAGGTGTCTTTTCCCCTGTCTGTCCCTTTCTTCGATCATAAGTTTGCATCTGACAACGACCCAAAACGTGACCTCTTTAGTATAGTAAGATGGGGCAGTTTTTTTGTTTTTGGTCAAAAGATGGGGCAGTTTAAGGCCTTCATATAAGCAATTTCGTTAGTGCCACTTAGATAAATTTAGGTACTGTCCATAGGAAGGATTTAACTTTATTTTATATTTTTGAAAAAGAAAGGATTTGATTGAATCAATAGGTAGAGCACCTCGTTTACACATGCTCCCGTGTTTTTCGGAGAAGCGCATCACATCATGTAAGATGAATTTAGGTACGGTCCATCGAAAGGATTTAACTCTATTTATATTTTTGAAAAAGAAAGAATTTGATTGAATCAATAGGTAAAGCACCTCGTTTAAACATGCTCCCGTGTTTTTCGGAGGAGCGCATCACATCATGTACTCAAAAGTCCATGTTTCTAGAGAAATTTTTACTAAAATTATAAAATTCGAAGTACTTGATTGCAATTCATACTGAAATTTAGGATTTTGAATTCACTATTCTCTTACGGGCTTATAAAACTTTACCCACTAAGATGATGCTGATATAGTTTTGCTTAGTTGTAAGTTGCATGTATTGATCTTTATCTAATTGTGCTATTCTTTTCACTAGAAGGATCTCGAACCGAATAAAGGAAATTTGAGACAAGTATAGGAAGCGAGGTCCCACAAAATCCTAGGCTCAGGCCTTTCTAGATCTCTTTCATTTCTTTTGTCAAAGTGATTAATTTGAATCAAACGTGTGATTTCTTTTCTTAATTGATGATAGAAGAAATAGAAGAAATCAATAAGATTTTCATCTTGCATCTTCAATGAAACGAGCGGACTCGGTTCATGCCAAAGGCGAATCGATCAGCTCCGATCGTGATAAGACGAATCGCAAGTGACTGGCAAAACAAGACGGAAGTGGGAAAAATAATCAAGTGGGTCAATATAAATACACTAATTCAAGACTAAAGTCTAAAGGAACATGCCAAGATTATTCACCCGACTAAGCAACTAATATTCAATAAACGTGTGCACCGCATCTCATCGAATAAATTGCGGTTTCTAGTGCGATCGATCCCAATACATACGTTAGGGCGATCCGTATTCATGCACGCTTAGATTTTTCTAATGTCATGACTAGCTACGTCGAGTTTAATATAATCCCATTTTAGTTCAACAAAAGACAAAAAAGGAAAGCACCAAAGGGTCACGAATTATAGAATAATAATAAGAAGAAGAAGAAAGTGTTGGAACACGTATAGTCTTTTATTATGTGCCAGTCACGGGTTGTTTTAGTGATGTGACGGCATGATCTAGGGTTTGCTTTTGTAAAAAGAGTCGATGTTTAGTGGGGAGGTCGCTTTTGTTCAATAGTACTTAAAAAGCTAAACCCATCTTTAATCTGATTTATTTGGCCACTAATCATTTTGCTCACGTCAGGTTTCATGTTTTTCGTCTGACCTACTCTGATGGATAATGATGAAGCTCAATTACCATTTTTTTTAATCCCTTCTACGTTATATTTTTATATTTATGTGCACGGATAATAAAAAAGACGCACAATCGTTGAAATTCAATCATCGATTTTTAAAGTTCCAAATCTCGCATTAAGCTTTGGATCATGCTTTAGGGTTTGCATGATCGATTATTGTACTTGCCAACTAATGACACTCGAATGGAACGTGACCAATCTTTTGACCAAAAGAAAGTGGCACATGACCCTCATTTTTTTATATAGAAAATCTAGGGAAAAATGCAGTCGCCTCCTTTAGATTTACACTAACATGAAATATATTATCCATGTATATATTTATATAGATGGTCACTCTACGGTTAGATAAGCGTATGATGTGATAAGGAAAGTAATTAGCCATGTAAAGTTGCCTTATCTCCCATTATAGGCAATGATAAAAAGCAAACTCAAATCGATGTACCTATCTTTAAAAAAGCCGTCTTAAGATAGGACCGATGGAGATCCTCAGCATTTAGGGATAACGGAGCGTGTCGTATTACCCTAAAGAAAATTAAGATACCCCCTCATTTTATACAAAATACGCTATAAAGCCCAAAAATTCCTATAACTACTTCTCTCTCGTGCGCGCACACAAAGTTGCCGCTAGCAGGGACGGATCTAGAGGAAACATATT